TTTTTTTAAATTTATTTTAAGGAATCATTGGTGCTGAGGTTAAATCACTGATCAAATCTTATCTCTTAGAAAAACTTCTGGCCTCTGAGGCTGTTGCTGGACCAACTTTCCTATGAGGAGCACATCCTGTGTGGCACTGCCAACCTGCTTTTGAGGGATCTGAGTCGGGAGAAAGCCATGATGCTGAGAGTGTGAGTCAGGCCCTGCTCCCAGAGCAGGGAATGCAGCAGAGGGATCACCTGAGCTCCTGGGAAGCAGCTTGGGCTGAGTCAGGGGTGGAAATCTGGGCAATGCACAGGTGGAATTGCTGGAGTTCCTTCATCCTGATTTGGGGAGCAGCTGCTTCCCTCATCCCTAGGAGAGCCCCCTTGGCTTCCAGCAGTGCTGGGAGAATCTCCTGGCTGGGGTTTGGATAAGATTCCATTGGATGTGGGAATTGTCTTCTTCTCCCAAATGCCAAGTTAACTTCCTGTGCCTCAACCCTTCTGGTTTTGTTGTTCAGATGGGAGAACCTTGGTCCCCAGTACGTGGGGGAGTTCCTGTGCCTGTTCCTGACCTCCAGACACAAGAGGATGCAATCTGTGGGGCTCCTCAGCCTCAACATGGTCATAGAGAACCTGCACCTGTGAGTGAGGGGAGCCTGAAATCCTGGGATTGTCCCAGGGCACCTGAAATCCTGGGGTTGTCACACTGGGATTGCTTCAGGGCATCTGAAATCCTGGGATTGTCCCAGAGCTCCTGAAATCCTGGGATTGTCACACTGGGACTGCCCCAGAGCTCCTGATATCCTGTGATTGTCACTCTGGGATTGTCCCAGGGCACCTGAAATCCTGGGATTGTCACACTGGGATTGCTCTCTGTTTCAGATGTCCCTGGGCAAAGCAGCTCTGCACCTTTTTCCACGAATCAGTGAGTATCCCAATTTTCATAGGATTGAACAGCAAAGCAGATCAATGAAAACCCCTATCAAATAAATATTGAAATGTATCATTTTGTATAAAAAAAAACCCCAAAACATTCCTGAAGGGGGAATTCTCTGTGTTTTGTCTCTTCCCAGGGGTTGAGGCAGCTCCCCTTTGGCACCACAGTTCACCACGAAGTTTCCAAGTTTGTCAGTGCCTTTGAGAAGCTCTGATTTGGACCAAATCCTCAGGAATGTTTTCCATTTGGTTTTTTTTTGCATCTGAGCAGTCTCTTCCTGGAGAGTTCCTTGGGTTTGCTGTTGTTGTTTCCTCCAGGAACAGTCAGCTAAAAACTGACTGTGCTGGCTCTGCAGTGGGAACAGAGCCACGTTTTGGGAGTTTGTTGGCAGTTCCACATATTAAGGAGTTGTTGGAAGAGGCAGCAGGTTGGAGTCGCTTCCAGAAGCTGAGAAAAGCAGGGAAACACAGATGGAGCAGGAAGCAGCAAAGGATTTTTCCTCCTGTTGGGACACAAACCAAACTGCTGAGAGGGAAAAGCTTTAACCCAGGAGAAGGAGCTGACAACTCCCTTTGCAGCAGTTTTGGGGTCAAGTGCTCTGATTTTGGGTTTCATTCTAAACCAGGAGGCTGGAAGATAAAACTGAGCTTTACAACCCCAGGGTGGGGCAGCCAAGAGCTGAGTTTATTTGAGAATAATCCTGATTTCAGGCTGGGCTTTTATTTTCTGCTGAGAAGAAGATTTAGATTGGTGCTGGTGCCTCTGTGAATTTCCCAAATCCTAATTCTGGGGGGAATTAGGAGTTCACTCCGACCTGGGGAGATGAAAGAACCTTTTGGAGCCTGGTTTGGGCTCTGACCCTCTCTGCACTGCTTGGGCAAGCAGGAAAACAAACCTTAATATGTGACCAACTGCACTTTGCACAATTCCAGGGGTCTGGGGGCTTCTGCACCTCCTGTCAGCCCAAATTTCCTAAAAAAAAAATGCACCTGGATGGAAATTGGACACCTTGGGAATTAAAACTGTTCAAGTTTCATTGTTGCATTGGCATTTTGGGTGGTTTTTTTTTTTGTTTTTTTGGTGGTTTATTTGGGGTTTGGGTTTTTTTATTTTTGGTTTTTGTTTATTTGGAGTCTTCTGTGGTTTTATTTATTTTTTTTAATTGGGTTTTGGTCCTGTTTCTTGGAGGGTTGTGGTGTTTTTGGTCCTGGTTTTATGGGGCTTTTTGGGTTTTTGTGGTTGGGTTTTTTTTGGCTTTGAGGTTTTTTTGCCTCTATTTTTTTTTTTTTGCTTTGGGTTTATTTTATTGTTGGGATTTGATTTGTGGAATTTTTTTAGGGAGGGTTTATGTTTTTTTAGGAAATTGAGGGTTTTGGGGGGTAGGGTTTCTTTTTAGGATGTTGGGAGGGTTTTGGGGGGTTGAAGTTGAGAGGGATTTGGGAGGATTTAAGTTTTTTTAGGAAATTGGGGGATTTGGGGCAGCTTAGAGTTTTTTAGAATTGAGATTTTTCTTTGGCTGTCAGGTTTGGGGGTTTTTTTGAGGTTTGAATTTTTGTTTTGGGGGTTGGACTGGGCCAGGCTGAGTCTCCTCCAGATCCCCCATCCCAGGACCCCAAAAAGGGAACGGGAACAGATTTGGGGTAGGTGCTTTGTCACCTTTGTCACCTGGATTTCTTCCCCTTGGCACAGAAAATCTGGGAAGCACTTCCTTAGGAGCAGCCTGTTAAATAATGATTTAATTTTTTATGTATGAGAAAAACCTTTCCTGGAGCTCTGCTCTTCCCTTTGGGGCTGGAATCATCCTGAAGGAAGGCTGAGCTCTGCTCCAGGTGAAATGGAGAGGAACAAAACTCATTAAAAATGGGAAAATGTCCTTTGGAGCAGGAAATGGGGCCCTGGAGCTGCCTCATCCCAATGTTGGAGCAGACGCAGCTCCAAGGCTGTGGAGGGAGCTGAGCTGGGAAGAAGTGACAGCACCTAAAAGTGACATTTCTCCTAAAAACTGTGACGTTGCACCTAAAAAATGTGAATTTTCACCTGAAAGTGGTGACATTTCTCCTAAAAATTGTGACACTGCACCTGAAAATGGTGACATTTCACCTGAAAATGGTGGATTTAAGGGATTTTCCTAAAGTCTGGAGGGGGAATGTCCTCCCCAGCTCCAGAGGGAGCTGTCCCTGCCTTACCTGGGGACTGCAGGGTCACCTGTGCAGCACCAAGGACCCTCCTCATCCACTAATTGCTTACATTTCTAATTAATTACTTATATTTCTAATTAACTCTTTCAAATTGCTTCACTTATTCCCAGTGCAGTGAACAGAAATCCGCTCTCAGTGTATTTAAGGAACATTTCCACCCCTCCAGCCCAAACACTTCGCTGCTGCTGGAGGCTGAGCCTGGATTTCCCTAAAAACCCTCTGGAATTGGGGACTGAACATTCCTGGAATGGCACAAACAGGAGGGACCTGGGAAGAAGGGCTCAGCCTGGAGAAAATGGGGATCGTTTTGTCCTTCCCTACAAACCCCACATCCTTAATTTTAATTTTTAATCCTTAAAGGGTCCTTTCACCCCCGCCTGTTCCGTCCCAGCCTCTCGCTGCTGCCGCTCCTCCTCCTCCTGCTGCTTTCCCGGCTTTTCATTCCCAACTTCCCGACTCTTCCAGGGAATGGGGAAGAGCCACAAAATCCGGGGGGACAGCACAGAGGGAAGGGGATCAGGGAAAGGATCAGGGAAGGGATCGGGGAAAGGATCAGGGAAGGGATCAGGGAAAGGATCAGGGAAGGGATCCGGAAAGGATCCGGGAAAGGACCGGGGAAGGGATCAGGGAAAGGATGAGGGAAAGGATGCGGGAAAAGGTCAGGGAAGGGATCGGGGCAGGGATACGGAAAAGAAACGGATCAGGGATGCGAGCAGGGATTTGGGGCTGTCCCGCATCCATCCCTGGAGCCCTCGGGGGGACAGGGATAACCCCAGTTCCAGAGCCCTGGGGGTACCGGGATAACCCCAGTTCCAGAGCCCTGGGGGGACCGGGATAACCCCAATTCCCGAGCCCTGGGGGGACCGGGATAACCCCAGTTCCAGAGCCCTGGGGGGACCGGGATAACCCCAGTTCCAGAGCCCTGGGGGGACCGGGATAACCCCAATTCCAGAGCCCTGGGGGTACCGGGATAACCCCAATTCCAGAGCCCTGGGGGTACCGGGATAACCCCAATTCCAGAGCCCTGGGGGGACCGGGATGTGGCTCCATCCAGCGGAGCCCAATCCCCCGGGAGCGGCGGGGGGAGGACGCTCCCGTTATCCGGCTCCTGCCGCACCAGCCGTGCATTACCAGATTATCCCGAGCGTTTGGGATCTCCGGGAGCCAGGGAAGCGCTCGCGGGAGGAGCACAAGGCTGCAGTCGCGGCCCCATTTCTCTGCTGCCGGCATTCCCAAGCCAGGTGGGAGCGGGACGCGCCGGGAATGCGGCGGGAGCGGGGAAGGGGCTGATCCCGCTCCCGGCTGGAGTTCCGGGGGATGCCGGGGCTGGCACGGAGCCGTGCCCGGGGGAGGATTTCACCTTCCTGCCCTTTCTCCGGGAGCCCTGGCGTGGGGCAGGGGACATCAGCAGGTTTGGGTGGCACGGGGGCCGCTCCGCTGTGGGCACTGCTTGAGCCCCCTCAGCTCCCTGCCTCAGTTTCCCCATCGCGCCCGTGCTCCCGCAGGGTTCCTGCTGGGGTCGGTGGGGTGGGGGGTACAGAGGGGTTTGCTTTGCTCCCCACATCTCTGCTGGCCTCCCCCCAACCCCGAGCCATTTCCAGCGCTCTTTAGGCAACCCCAAATCCCTCCCGCTCCCTTCGGAGCCGTGGCCAGGCAGGAAAAGGACAAAACCCCCTTCCCAAAGAGCCTCTGGCTGCTCTTTGCTGCTCCCCACCCAAATTTCAGTCAAATCTGCCTCAGTCCCTGAGTTTTGCATGAGAGGGGCGCTTTGCCTCAACCAAAACATTCCAAAAGCTCCTGGAGCCCTTGGCTGCTCCGCTCTGGGCTTGGAAACCTCCCCGGGAGCCTGGGACGTGCTGTCCCCATCCTGAGGGGGCCTCTGGGGGGAAATTGAGGGATCAGGGCAGGACAAGGCACCAAAATCCCCATTCCCAGCCCAACGGAGCCCTCGGAGAGCGCGATGGACGAGTGGGATCTCCCACAATGGAAAAAAGAGGTGGAAAGCCTCAAGTACCAGCTGGCCTACAAGAGGGAGATGTCCTCCAAGACCATACCTGAGTGAGTGGGGGCTTCCCTTCCCCTTCCCCTTCCCCGGGGTTCCCAGATGAGATTTTTCCCTTTCAGGATCTCCAAGCCCCATGGGTAGAACCCCCTCGGTGTCCCCCAGCCCTTTCCAGCTGCCCAGGCTCTGCTGCTCCTGGGCTGTGGTGGCACCACGGCACCTCCTGGCCCCTGGGAGCCCCCCAGGGTGCAGATCCCCCCCTTTTCCAGAGCTTTCCAGAGCTCAAAAGACTGGAAATTACGGATGGTTCTGTTCCCTCCCTGCTTTGTGGCAGAGCTGGGGACACCCCCATGTCCCCCCAGTGGATCAGGGGCATCCCAGGATCCCCTGGATTTACCCCAGACCCCCCAAAATCCCCAATTTTGCTGGCCTGGGGCTGTG